ACTTTACATCCTGGGATTAACCATTTGGAGAATAATTTTAGTTCAATTACAGATGGTGTTGGCCATTACGTGGGTGAGTGTGTTAGGAAGCATGAGCCCCAGATAGATCATAATGGTGCTGACGTCCACAACTTCAAGATAACTAAGATGGCCTTCAACGCAACATTAATATAGAATTTTGAATTACTCTCAGGAGCTCTAGTCAATACCATTGTAGTACTAATGCTTAGACAAATAATTATTTTCATGTACCATATGTGTTGGTGTTTTAAGTAAGAGTCAAGATGATTTGATGGGTCGGGAGACATTGAGTAAATTGCTGGCAAGTTCACAATTTCCTCCTGTGACCAAAAGTTGAATGGTGTACAACAGGGTGGGATTGTTGCCCCTGCAAAAAAAGTCCAACAAAATCAGGATTATTATTTTTTCCCTGTCCCACAAAATGCTACTTCCTTACATCTTTTGGATCAGCACTGACCCAGACAAGAAAGAGGTCGGGACTGCTGAAGGGTTTCCATTTTATGATCCATTTGTCTTTTTTCAATTTTAGAAAAACCCACCCTGATTCTGAATCTCCAGCTGCCTATAATCGTCGTCTTTTTTTTTTTTTAATTATTATTCTATTACCTTTTTTCTTATAGATTTGTGAGGTGTATTTATTATTTTGGGGACATGCCATTTGTTGAATACAAATATCCCAGTGTTTGTGTTTCTTTTTCACTCTTTCCTTTTAGAAGTATTACTTTTTGTGTTCTATGTAAGAAACCTTTGCTTAGCCCACAGTTAAGAAGAGTTTTTACATTGTTATTTTTTGGAAATGTGATCCTTATACATTTTACATTTAGGTCTGCGATTTATAAGGAATTGATCTTCATGTGCATTGTAAGGTAGGGATTGAGATTTATTTTTCTCATCTGGATCTCCAATTGGCCCAGCACCATCTACTGAAAATACCATCCTTTTTGTAGTGCACTGCACCTTTGCTATAAATCTAGTGTCTATATCTCTAGGAATTTGTTTTGGGACTTTCTACTCTGTCGCATTGCCTAGATATCAAGGTTTGTACCAATTAAACACTGTTTGCTTTTTACGAAGATATATAATGCCTTATTATATATCATCTTATATATAGATTATATTATATATCTAATTATACGTTATTATATAGATATATACTATATATAATATATATACACACATATAATGATATATAATAATATAAAGCTGTATAGCTTTATAATAAGATGTGATCTTCAGTAGCATAAGATCTCCAGTTTTGAAAAACATAAAAACATAAAAAAACAAACAAACAAACAACAGTTCTGTTCTTCAAGGTTGTTCTGGATATGCTCGGTCCAGACCACCTGCATCAGAATTGATCTGAGGCAGAGACACTTGAAAAGCTCCTATGTGGTTTGGAATGTGCAGCCAAGCTCTAGTTACTTATCTCACTTTTGAGCAGTCCCAAAGTTTCCACTAGGACCTGTGGAAAATTCTATCTACTGATCAAATGTGACTCATTCTTCAAAATACACTGTACTAATGGGGACCCACTGCTGCCTCGATATTATTCCTTGGAGAAAATCTTAATATCTGAACATCTGGTTCAGCGTGATGGGTCTATCATAGTAGCTACCTTCCAGCTGACACTTTTTCTCTTGGATTTATTTTTCTTACCTCCAATTTATAATCAAGTATTCACTTTGTGATTTACTGTGAAGCAAGAATTGCTAGATAAACCAGAGAAGCTATTTTCCTTAAAGACCTTTCAAAACCCCACAGCTTTAATACTTACTTGTTACAGTGTTATTGTTAGACTTAAATTTAGTGGAAAATGGGCTTCTTATTAGTTCTTTGGTTTTAAACTCATAAATCCCTTTCATTAAATCTTTTTTATGAAGATTTAGCAAACTCCCACCAGCATTTGATAATATTCCTGTGAAAGACTTGACTCTGAGAGCTACTACTGTATTTTTTTTTAACACGTAAAATGTAGTTGCAAATAATCTTCTGTTTGCAGTTTAACAATAAAAGCTGGGATAATACTAGTATTCGGATAGTTACACTGCACATAATAATCTGAGTGTATCCTGGTCCCTCCCAAACTTTCATATCTTCCTACTGTCAAAACACTTAAATACATTTAAACATATTGGTAGGAAACGTCCAGATGGAGGAATGAAAGCCCGCAGGCAGTTTTCAGGGGCTACTTACTAGCTAGCCCCAGGCAGAGTGAAGACTGGAAAGATTTGATGGGAGTTACTTTGTTCGCTGATCTGATGGTGAGATTCACAGTTAAAGTGATTTAAATGTGTTCATCAGGGCAGTTCACATGGCCTGTCTGTCCCTACCTTTTTCCATTCTGGCTGCTTGGCCCACACGTAGAGGTGGCGGGCACATGATGGGAAGTCACCCACGAGGGCGTGTGTCAACCACAGCAGGGACCAGGGTAGCCTGTCACTAAAGCTTTTATGCTAGACATGAAATGAGGGAAGAGGAGGTGGGAGAAACAGGTAGCAGAGGAACGATGGAGCTAAAGCAGGTGGATGAAGGCTGAGGAGCATCAGGCAGGAGAGGTCCTGGGGAGGTCGGGAGGGTCAGGGACCCAGGGTTTATCTACCGGTAGAACGCAGTGGATGGGTGGGCATGGGGCTCTTGCCAATCGCCCAGACCCTGTCCTTGCAGCCCTTGTACATTGAATCCTGGGGCTACGGTTTACCAAAAAGGGCTTATTCTTGAAATTGCAGAACCACCAGAGAATCCCAATGTTAAAATCAAAACCATAAAATCTTGAGGAGCCAAGGCCGCAGGGAACCAGCTCTTAGGAACAGTTTCAAATCCACCCAGTGGCTGAAGGCATCTTGATGGCGCTCACTGTGCTTCCCATCTTTTGCCCATTTGGTTTCTGCACCAACACCACCAGTCGTCGGTGGGGATGGGGACCCACTCCAACAGACCAGCAATGCTTAGGGCGCCAGCAGAGTGTCCTGAAATTCACTCCATCCTGCCACTGTCCACCTGCAGACAGCATCAGATTTCACAGGGCAGGGGCTCAGTTCTATGGCACCATCTTCCACTCCAGGCACAACCCAGAAGTCCAGGCTGTTACCTGTATTTCTCACCTACCAGCTGTAATCAGGGGTTCCGCCGACCTCTTCCTCAGCTCCATTAATGTCCTAGAGGGGCTCATAGAACTCAGGAATTCCCTTATTGGCTATATCACAGGTTTATTACAAAGGCTATTAAAAGATACGAGTCAACAGTCAGATGAGCTGCACAGGGCAGGGTCTTTCATGTTCACCAAGCTGGAAGCCCTCTGAACTACTTCTTTTGTGTTCCTACGGAGACTTCATTATAAAGATATGATTGATTAATAGGTATCATTGGCCATTGACAGTTGATGTAACCTCCAGCCCCTTCCCCTTCCCAGAGGTCTGGAGGGGGGACTGGAAGTCCCAACGTCTCTAATATGTGTTTCTCCATGCAACTGGCCCCCATCCTCACGTGCTTTCCAGAAGTCCTCTTGTTATGGGATGCAGGGTTCTTGTCTCACAGAGTCCAAGAATGAAGCTCATAGACACCGAGGGGTGAAGTGAAGTGAAAGTGTATTAAGTGAAGGTGAGAACAGAAAGCAGAGAGGAAGCTCTCTAGAGTCAGAGGGGTCCTGAACGGGTGGCCACCGAGGGCTTTAGGGCCACTGAGGGCTTTTAGGGGCAGTCTTCTGTGCAGAACTGCCTGAGAAGCTTGTGGCCTTGAGATTCTGTACTGTGTTGGTTGGAGCCAGGACTCTCACTTGACACCCTTAATGGCTTCATTCTTTGAGGTTTAGTCATTTTCGGTGATTACACACAGTAGCTGCTGAAGAAAGGTTCTCCCTAACATCTGGGGCCATGGTCTGGTCCATTCCCTTATCTCTTGCTCACTCTGGTTTAGGGCTCTTGCCTGCCAGGAATAGTCTCAGAGCCCTTGGCTCTCCCTGCTTGCATCTGCACACTTTCCTTACTCACTCCCATTAACATGACACAAGACACTCTTTTCCTGTCATCCTTTAGGAAATTCCAAGGGTTTTAGGAGCTCTGAGCCAAAGGAGACAAAGACCAAATAGATATTTCTTATTATACATCTTATTATCCATCATCATGCCACAAATGTCAGTCTTGAGCAGTAAGAGCAAGGCTGATTCAGCCCATCTGAGGGGAGTTAGACTAAGAAGCAGGAACAAAGTGTAGCCCTCTCGGGGGAAGCCTGACTCTCAGGGCATCTGTCTGGGGGTGATGCACCTGCTCTCCCTGCCATTGCTGAATTGCTCCCATGGGAATCGGAAGGCATCGCTGGAGGGGCGCCCCTTCTTCTGCTGGGCTACTCCTTAATTTTTGCATAATTAATTTATCTTATTTTATGCCTTTTGTTTTGAACTGGGAGAGATTTATGCAGCTTTGTTTTATTCTTTGGCTCTGTGGGACTTTGCCAGGGTTTGTTAGAAATCGACAGTTTGAAGACTGAGTGTGGTTTTCCCTAATTATTCATGTTGCTTCTGGTGGCAGTCATTTGGATATACTATTACATGCATCTGTGTGTCATTTTATAATGGTTATTTGATCTGTTGGTTTAGTTTTTCTGAGCAAGAGACTTAAGGCAGAGTGTTTCAGTACTCAGCATCACGCTGTGGCAGATAATCGACACCAAATTTGTTTCATAAATATGGCAGGTTGGTATTGATGAAGATGTATTTGAAAATTGCAAAAAACATTTTTCCTCAAATTTCTAATACAAGTTCCTAAATTTATATATTGTCCTTCTTTGCCTCCTCCTCATCCCCCACACCCACCTTTTAGCACCAGAGAATGCTTCTACAATTCACCATTTGTGCATGAAGGGTCACAAAATAAGTCATTATAAAAAATGGCCAAAATGGTTGGAAATTTAGTTAAAAAAAAATCACAAAGTAAAGACAGGCCAAAATAATATACTGTTTTTTTTTTGTGTGCTTTCTTTTTAAGGTCAGAACTGCGGAGGTTTAGTCCAAGGTCCCAATGGCACCATCGAGAGCCCAGGGTTTCCTCACGGTTATCCCAACTATGCGAACTGTACCTGGATCATTATCACAGGAGAACGTAATCGGATACAATTGTCATTTCATACCTTTGCCCTTGAAGAAGATTTTGATATTTTATCGGTTTATGATGGACAGCTCCAACAAGGGAATTTGAAAGTGAGGTAAAGTATTGGCTCTTTATACTATAGATTAGGTGGCACCCTTTGACTTAGATTCTGAAACTTAATTGGAATTGATTATTCAAATTTAATTATCAGGAAATTTTAGTTGCAATAAAGAAAAAGTAGACTTTTAAGCACTTTTTTTTTTAAATACTGAACAATTTCTTATTGAAAGCAATCATCAACTTCATTTGTAGACATCAAACTGCTGTGGATCCGTAAATGGTGTTGTCAAGGTAATTCAAGTGAAGTTACAATACACCATTCTTTTTAAGCAACAGTGGATTTGAGAGAAAACTCACAAAGAGAAATGCATGAGTACAATTCAGAGAACAACAAAAGGAACTTCTATGTTGTCAGAGAATTCATTGAATACAAAGAGTCAGGGAAAGTGGGTGGGATAAAACATGAGAGAATATTGAACTCTTTGGAGAATTTTTGGTTTACACAATCATAATATATTCCATTCCTCATTAGCTTTCTCTTCTGATCTATGATTTTAACCATAAAGAAAGAACAAATATTTTCTTGGATGATTTTAAATTATTTTTTTTCATTTATTGCAAGAAAAAAAATTGTGCTTGTACAAGCATATCCTTTTTTTCTTTTTAAAGAAAAATTATTTTGTCAAAAGAAAGAGGAATAACCCTTAAACAGAAATTGAGATTTCTTAGGTAAATGAATACACATACTTAAATAAGACAAATAAAGCTTTATCCTTTGGCTTTAAAATCTGTACTAATTAGAGATTATTGTTGACTATACGGAGTTTTGTAGGAAAATTTTTAGTGGGCAGAAGAAATTGTATGGCTTGGATAAATAAAATACTATCGTTGCTAATGTCTGCAGAAAGACACACAAATCACATACTTTATATTTTATTTTGTGATGAGGAAAAAAATCTAGGTAAAATGTTAATATACTAGCATATATATAAGTTAATACATTAAACATATAATGATAATTTCTATTTGCACTTTCTTTATGTATTTTCATATATAAAACACCTTTTGGGTTTTCTGGGTCTTTACAATATGTGTTGCCTGTTTTTAGAAACTCTTTTCCAGTTACCCTTTTTGTCATATATTGCACCCAAGTATCTCCTTTATAAATTACTTAGGTAAACTTTCTCCTAACACATATGGTTGTGCACTTTGGATGTTTGGGAAAGTCTCCATAAATATAATCCTTGTTAATTCGATGCAAGATCTCTTACCCATTTCCTGCTCTTCTAAAAATTAGTATTTACTAGTTTTTATTCCAAATAAATCATACTAGAGAATGGTGATATGTTATAACAATAGTAAGAATTGTAATAGAAACTGCAAAGACTTATAATATAAAAAAGAAATAGAGAATCCAGTTTATTCAAATATCATCAGATGACTCTCTTTTAAAAGTAATTCTTTCTCTTTCCACTAAGAAAATTCTCCATATGTACTCTTTAAAAATATTTCCTTGTCAATATTTCTATTTCCTATTTTTTAATTTATACTTTAAAATATTCTTATTTTAATATATATTATGTTATGTTTTATAATTATTTTACTTTATTATAATTCCTATAGTTTACCTTATTCTAAAGGAGATCTGCTTAAATGTTAATCTGATTCCCTGTCTTTAAGTAATCTATGCTCTTACCGTGACATTATGGCCATTTTCTATATTAACTATAAGGTTTAGAAAACAACATTCCTATTATCTTCCAGCAGTGGAAATATTAAGGTTGGAATAACTAGATTCATTGTATTTTGTATTTGTATTCATTGTATTTTATTTCAGTGAACAGTATATAAATTGGTATCTGTGCCTTAATGAGCTTTAGAAATATAGGTGAGTTATATGTACAACATCATGATTTTTTTTTTTTTTTTTTACTGACATAGATATTTTCACCAGAGAAAGCAACACACACAAGGCCAATAAGAAAGAATCACTTGGCTTCCTATAAATTACTCAGTTAACTACAGTTTTTTGTTTGAGACAGAGACTAAATATGTCAGATTTCTACCAGTTTCTAGTCCTTAAGGCGAAGAAAATGCCTTGTCTCTCTATGAATCTAATCTCTATTAGATTTCTTGTATCTCCACACTTAGGATGCCTTCATGTGGACAGTCTATGGGCCGAGGGTAGCTCTTCTGGGACAGAAGTGACCATTCCAGGTATCATTACACAAATAGGCAAAACAAATCAGAAACAGAATGTCACGGTGTCCTAAGTGCTAGGAGTCTTTACTCATATGACATTTTGGATAAATTATGACATAAAATAGGAATATGAGCTTTGTTGATGTTATAGGATTGCAGGGTTCTTGTCTCACAGAGTCCAAGAATGAAGCTCATAGACACCAAGGGGTGAAGTGAAGTGAAAATGTGTTAAGTGAAGTTGAGAACAGAAAGCAGAGAGGAAGCTCTCTAGAGTCAGAGGGGTCTAGAACGGGTGGCCACTGAGGGCTTTTAGGGGCAGTCTTATGTGCAGAACTGCCTGGGAAGCTTGTGGCCTTGAGATTCCTGTACTGTGTTGGTTGGAGCCAGGACTCTTGCTGACACCCTTAATGACTTCATTCTTTGAGGTTTGGTCATTTTCTGTGATTACACACTGGGCACCAGAGAAAGATTCTCCGTAACATCCGGGGCCATGGTCTGGTCCATTCTCTTATCTCTTGTTCACTCTGGCTTAGAGCGCTTGCCTGCCAGAAATAGTTCCAGAGCCTAGTCAGGGGCCCCTGGCTCTCCCTGCCTACACCTGCACCCTTTCTTCACTCATTAAGGTGGTTGCAACATTTCAACATTGGTTAAGGCAAAGCAGTTTCAATTACTATCAGATTCTCATTAACAAGGTGGGGGAGACTCTAGTCTCCATGCTTGCTACCATTAGATCTTGGAACCATCGTCTACTTGTCTAGTTCTTGAACATAACACACACAGCAGTTCTGGAATTCCAAGGATGTTTTGTAGGAGGCCTGATGCCTGCCCTGACCCACTGAGTTGTCATAGAAGTTCTTTTCTTAGAGCTGTCCTGGTCCAAATTCTTGTTTTGCTGCTGCACAGAAACTGTTTTTACTAGCTCAACCTGTGCACTAAAAAATAATAAATATTTTTTTTTATTAAAGAACTTGAAAATTTTATTATTTCTTTTGTTTATCTAAAGTAAAGAAATCTTTTTCAAGTAATATATAATTTAGATTTAATAACTAACAGAATTTAGGATGTGAAGGCTGTTGTAATTTTGTAATGTAATTTGATCTTTAGCGAGGACTATCCATATTATTTACCCTACGTAAGAAAAAAAAAGTATTTAAAGCAAAAATGAAACAAAACAAAAATCTCCAACATGCAATATGTTATCATCTTGGATTATTTATATAATTCAGATAAACACATATAATGTGCACTTCCATCAATAAATTAAATTTTAACACATAGATATTGAAAGGTAAATTAAGGCTTCTCTTAAGTACAAGAGAAAAGATTTGACTCAAAGTTAGGAATAGAAGTCTGCTCTTTGAAGAACGCATGTCTGTCTCAGTGGGAAGAGCATACAACACTTGATCTCCACATGATGAGTTCAAGCCCCACATTGGGTGCAGAGATTACTTTAAAAAAGAAAAAAATCTGCTCTTTGAAGTACCTAGACTTACAACCAGTGACTTTTATGACCTGTCATTGACCTGTCACATTATTGCTATTTTTTGAATCTCTACCCTTTATAGACTCTGCCTGCTATCTTGCTTCTCAAATTCCCACAAGGGTCCAATTATGTAGTCGTCAAGTCTTACACTCTTCATTTTGCAACATCTCTCCATTACTCAGACATTCATTCCTCATATTTCTGGAGGTTGAAAGTCTAAGATCAAGGTTCTGGCAAATTTAATATTCAGTGAGAGCTGGCTTCTTGGGTCATAGATGACTGTTTTCTCCCGTCTCCTCACATGGAAGAAGGGTCAAGGTAGCTCTTTAGGATCTCCATTAAAAGGTTATGAATCCCATTCATGAGACACCCCCCCACACTTTTGCCCTATTCACCTCCCAAAGGACTCACTTTCAAATAGTGTTGCATTGGAGATTAGTATTTCAACGTCTGGATTTGGGAGAAGGGTCAACAACATTGTCTACAGCATCTCAGGAGTTTATTATTTAGTTGAAAGAATCTGTAGGTTATTCCTTAACCTGATTTTACAAGAGAATATCTTTATCACCTCTATTTCCTCATCATTCCCTCTGCTCACCTAAATGATATCCTACTTCCAAAACCCACTTCACATTATACGTATTTCAGAATATTTTGCCGGTGCATCCCATGTTAAAAAACAACCATTGAGAAAAGTTCCATCTTTTCTGAGCTCCTTTAGCATGTCCCAGTAACATAGACCTTGAAGGATATGCTCCTTTGAAATTACACAAGCTCTGACGTTGCCTGTTGTTGGGGTTGTATATCTCCCTCTCCTCTGGATGAGCATGAGTTAATCGTCCAAGCGAGAGACTGCTATCCAGTAGGTGTTCTCTAAATATGAAGTAGTGAAGTAGTGTTGATTTGTCCCCAAATCAGAAAATAATCGAAGTTGGCATTAATCTCCAACTGTGATAACATTATAACCTCAATAAATGGATAAAAGTGAATCTATGGAGGGGAACTGTGTCGTGCATATGTGGGAAATCAGAATATATTATTCCATGATTATTGTAGAATACAAGAAAATAGCTTTGGCAGTGATCTCGGCAATCCTTCTGTGACTTATGCAAGATTATCCCTTGTTTTCTACAATGATGATCAGAAGTTAGAGATTAATGTGATAGGGCCATCAAAATGAGGGTATCATGTATAAGTGTTGCTAAAATATCACTGTTTTCTCCAGTGCTTTTTTCTGTACTGTAATCATGTGCCTGAATGCATTAAAATTAGCTAAGAAACCTTTGTAATATTAATTATATCTAGTGATGTTTAGAACTTGAGATGTTTTAAGGGCTAAAAAGAGGTTTCAATTACATTCAGATTATATC